AACAAAGTCTAGAAAAATCATCTGGAGTTAGATTGAGGATCCTTAAACTCTAAAAATTTAAAGTTTTAGTCTAGCTTGTCTGTGATCTTTCCCAAGACCTGATGTTGTCTCTAACCAAGGTGAAAATTGTCATTTTCACTGACTGGTCAGAAATTAGCTGCATTGATATCTCATATTGTAAAATCCATAGAAAATTGTATAAAAATCGTATGGACTTGTGCGAGTACCCTATGAAAAGATAAAAGTCTAAAATACTGGAATATACAAAAATATGGTATATTTTGAAGGCCTTGGTGGTTTTAAAATGGACTTGAACAGGTGGTTGTTACGGGTCAAAATCTTGACCTTTGTTCAAAACGTTCATCTATATGTTTAGGCATTCTACTCTCAACATTTTTGTGTCATCTCTTTGATATTTTTCATAAAGTACCCAATTGATTTCTTAATAATATCATTCAAGCCTTTTTTGTGTAAAATTGAGTGACTTTAATCCTTTACCTAAAGTCTTAAAGCATATGGTAATTTTTGGTGAATGTTGGAATTTTGCACAACAACTTTTCCCCGTCTTGCGAGATCTGTAGCAGCTAATCTGGACAGGAATTTGATGATGCTCCACTCTGATGAAGTTATAGGAAATCGAGTCTAGTTTCAAGAAATTCCAATTTCATCCTATTTAGAGCTTTATATTTTGTTTAATGACCGAAACACTGAATAGGGGTCAAGGTTGGAATTATAAAAAAAATATAATATAAAACTAATATATGATGAGCTAAACTTGTAGACTTTGAATGCACTTAATAACTTGATGATATATGTGTTTAGGTGAGGTCTTGACAACTTCAAGGGAGCTCGAAACTTGGAGTTAATAAAGGATTTCTCAAGTTCAAGGTGAGTTAGTAGCTTTACTTACTAGTTGTGCATAAGTCGAGAAGAACATTTCATATATGGATCCTTGATCCACTTTATGTTAAATATGACCATGGTTGTGTATCTATGTGTTTGTTTGATATGCTTTTATGCTAGATGCCATGCTTAGGGTTTAAATTGATTATTTGACTATATTTTGATGATTATGATGTTTATGTTATGCTAGCATGAATTTGGTTGACAATATGACTAATTGACTAAGTTTTGTTGACTTGTTACTGGATTTGGTGAATATTATAATATTGGTTGATTCTATGAAATTGCATTCATAATATGATGAATTATTGAATTGTACGGGTTGATGCGTAGTGGGTTTGGGTAGTGAATAATACTTTGCCTAAAACCTTATTTGGATACTTAGTGGTGCCTATTAGGTTTAAAAGAGGACCTATAGAAAAGAGCTTAAGCCATTGTGCTGAAAGTCGTTTGGTCTATCTAGAAGATCCTGCGACACATGGTATACGTACATTGTAACCACAGTGTTCGTAGACTGGAGTGGTTTGGTCCTTTGGTTGTCGACTAGTACAAACATCAAGTTGGATTGGGAGTTGTTATGGTTGTGCAACACCGTTGGTACCAATCCTGAATGATGCCACGAAATACTTGTGTTTCACACAGTCGTCATAGCAAAAGAGGTGGCTGGGGTCAATTTTTTGGGTGGAAGTCATGAGCCACTTACAGCATTCGACAATGTAGGCACACGAGTAGTGAATTGAGTATCTTCATTGGGGTAGGATGTAGTGAGAGACTAATGCCTATCGTATGATGCTTTTGTTGATATGAGATGTCTTTGTTGATATATGATGTTGTGTTGATATGCGATGCCTTTGTTGTTATAGGATATTGTGGTCATATGCGATGCCTTTGCTGATATATGATCTCGTGTTGGTATGCGATGTTGTGTTGATATGAAATGCCTTTGGTGTTATATGATGTTGTGGTGATATGCAATTCCTTTGTTGATATATGATGTTGTGTTGGTATGTGATGTTTGTGTTGTTAAGCGATACATTTGTTGATATGTGATGCCTTCGTTGATTTCAAATGTTTAGTTAATTTGTGTTCCTTTGTTGATATGAGTTGTTGTTGCCCATATGTAATGCTTACAATGATCTGTGATGTATATGTATGTCCTCTTTCAACTGTATGCAACATTTATTAACTCACTCAGAAGGGGTTGACACTTATTTCTTTTACTTTGTGTCATGTGATCGGTACAGGTAGCTTAGGAGCTTGGATTAGTGAGAGGGGTTGCTAATGGGTAGTAAATTTTTATTATCGATACCACTCTTGGACACGTTTTTTATTATTTACTTTAAAATACTTTTGCTTCCGCTTCATTGAAATTGGTTTGGAATAATGTTTGAATTTTAAGGTAACGTTGTGGTTTGAAAATGTTTTAAATTAATTAAATAAAGTCTTATGTTGCGATTGTTTGTTAAAAATGTGTTAAAAGTAAAAAAAATAATAAAAAGGGTAAAAATCACGGCGTTACAGTTTGAGTAATTGTTCGGGTGAGTTATATCACTATATACTATGTATTACAATATATGTCCATGTATGTTTTGATAGTGAGCTAGTAGAGTAGAGATGGTAGTATAATCTCTATGTGCTTAAATGTAAATGTACTTGAAACTGATAGAGTATAAAGGATAAATGTGCATGTACTAGAAGAGTCTAAAGTGCAGTCTCTATATGCGTAATTATTGTGATATTTGAATTGTCTACTAAGATTTAGTTAGGGGATGATGGCGGAACGACAAAGAGGTTCGGAGCCTATAGGCCCGTGTGTTGACAAAATCAAAAGTAAGCCGTAAGTACACATAGACCCGCAGTGACAAAATGGTAAGTAGGTCGTAAGTACACATAGACCCATGTTGATGAAATGGCAAGTATGTCGTAAGTACACAAAGACTCGTGTTCACGGAATGACATGTAGGCCGTAAGTACACGGAGAACCGTCTTGACGAAATCGCAAGTAGGTCGTAAGTACATGTAGACCTGTGTTGAAGACAAAATGGTTGGGCCGTAATTGGCTGATCGTGAGCCATTATTTGTATGCATGTATATGTATTGTACTATATGGTATTTTGGGGAACTCACTAACCCTCATGTTTACCCAGTTGATTATAAATGTTTGTTAGGTGCTTCATTGATTCGTGAGAATGGAAAGGTTCGACTGTAGACACGCGCATTCACAACATGTTACCGCATAATGTAACTATACTATGATATATTTGAATAAATAAAAATGAAAAATTTTGGGTTGAAAATTGGACGTTACAGTGAGGCTTAGATATGAGTCGGTCTCTTTATATGTTTTTATATAAGTTTTGGCTCCAGCCAGTATAAGCCTTTCTATCATGAACAACTGGTAATTATTTTCCACTGTTGGATCCAAGATCTTGCTATAGTTTGATGAATATGCTAGTTTATACCTGAAATTATCACAAATAAACTATCGGGATTTCTTAAAGAAACACAAAGTTTCTATTTTGGCAATTATTTTAATCCAAAATCCCATAAGAATGATGTAGACAATTGTACCTCTACTCAAAGGTAGAAAGCCTATTTCCATAGATGACCTGATTTAGGGAATTACATTTATGTAACAAAGTTTCATCTTTTTTCCAATTTGATGCAAAAACATGATTTTTTATATCAAATATGCAATGATGCTTCAATAAATATGTTTTCAACACTCGTTAGGTTTATATTTGCAAATTCTAATAGAGCATTTATGCAACAACCCATTGATCTTTTTTTTTTTGAAATTTATTCAATTTAAGACTAGCTAAAAGCTAACAGTAGGTGATAGCTGAAAAACTAACTATTACTGTTAGCTGAAAAGTTGACTGCTACCTGAAAAGTTAGATGATACGTTTGGTAAAAACTAACTCATAAACTACCCGAAAGATATAAAATAATAAAATGACATTTAGAATACAAGACTGACCTTATGTGTTGCATCACTAAGTGTTTTGGCAAGAAATGAATGTGGTAACAAAAAAAAGAGGTGGTTTTTTTTATCCTTACATTCCATGAACCTGAATTGATTATGGTGGTGATTAATACCTACACACACAAAACAAAAAAAACAACAGAACAAAAAAAACAAAAAAACAAAAAACAAATGACACGTAAGAGAAGTCGTTGGCATGATAAGAGATAAGAATTGGCCTTGAAAAGTAAATGTTATACATAATTATAATTTCTTGAAAGGCCTTTTATTTTTAAGGGAAAATGACATAAACGCCCTTAAGTTTTCACACATATATGTCCAAGAACATCACATGTGTGTGGTTTTTATTCCAACATTTATATGGTATCGAGCTCAAATTTGGTTAGGTTTGGGATTGATAAGTCGTTTACATCCCCTTTTAATAAATAAATTACTGTGAATGGTCTATTTTGTATTTTGTCCGGAGCTTCAAAACCGCTTAAAACGGCCTTGCACACAAACGCTTTAAAACTTGCTAAAAACACACAATGTATAACACGAAAAAGTTAACAAAGATTTTATGAGAATGAAATAAAGATAGCTGGTTAGACAACGTTAAACTTTATGATTCTGGATAAATAAATAGTGAAAATTTTGGACCTTACAAACTACAATTGATATCTTTTAGAATGGGATCAACCTTGATCAATAGGGATGCATAACTTACATTAAACAAAAACTTGCAAATACTATAAGAACTTTAAAAGAAATTCGACCTGAAACAAGGGATGCATAACTTAACTTGAGTAATTCGTTTTAGGATAGGGGATAAAAATTTAATATGTATGGAAAACCGGGAAATTAGGAATGGGATTTGATCTTTTTACACAAAACGACGTAGCATTTATCTAAACGAAGGTAGACTTTCCTTATATAACTACAATTCGATATTTTATTGAATATTATACCGAATCTCGCCTACCTTAATCTTCCGTGATCTACTTTCCTATTTGGATGAATCCTAAGTTTTTAGGTCACTGGATTCATTAACTATATAAGTATAGCCAGTTCATGCAGATTTTGAGTTATAACTCGGTATATCCTAAAACATACTCATATATATCATCGAGACATGGCTGAGTTAGCTGAGTTGCCTTTAGACGTCATCGACGAAATCTTATCAAGAATGCCTCTCATCGGGTACATCTCTCGTCGACCCTATAAACCATCTATTCTCAGTTTCTTGCTTATCAACGAGTTGAAAGAACATACTCCTGAAACGAACTCGGTAATGGAGTTTGGGTGTCAAGAATCGTTGATGGTTTTGGGTTCTTGCAATGGGCTGCTTTATCTATCACAAAACCATGGTAATGACATGACTACTTTGGTTGTGATAGATCCTCTAAGGAAAGAACGTTATGAGTTGCCACCTATAGATATTATGTTAGGGGAGTATTTCCAAGGGTCATGTGGTCTTTGTTTTGATGATTCTACAAACACGTTCAAGATGGTTTGAGTTGTGGTAAGAAACCATGCAACATGGCAGATGAAACTTGCTGACGTGAGGAAGAATCTTCTCACCATGGTGCATGTCTTAGGGACAAATTCATGGATAGAGATACCTCAAGTTCCAGATTATCCGATAACAGGTGAAGGAGTATTTAGCCATGGATATCTGTATTGGTTAGCAGCTTGTGTTGATGAATCACCAAATAATGATCCAAGAAAAGTGATATGGTTCAACGTGAAGAAGGAGGAATTCGGGTGGATAGATCTTCCAAAAGAAACACAAACACAAGATGAATCATTCATCAGCCATCGATTGGTTGATTTACATGGTGAACTTGGATACGAATACATGTCTAACAAAATTGAGGTGTGGGTGTTGAAGAAGAAGGAATGGGTGATTTATTGTAGGGTTGATCAGAAGCCACCTTTTCCTCATCAAGAGATAATGGTTTTAGGTCAATGGAACAAGAAGGGGGACTTGTTAATGACGAACAATCCATGGGAAAAAAGTTTACCGAAAAGGTTGTTTGTTTATGGTCAGGAAAGTGGTGAGACACATGAAGTAAAACTTGCTGGTTGGGGGAATGGATGGAAAGGAGATATACGAATGTATCAAATTAGTAGCCGGTTTACAATTCATGGTTGATGTTGATATTGTCTTTGCATGGTGTATTTAAGTTTTTATTGCTTTTCCTTCTTTCTATTAATGTAACTAATTAAGACAATCACTAGTTTTTTTTTTTTTTTATACATATTGATTCAAGCCTTCGGCTAAATGACTACTAGATTTGTTTCAAGATTAATTCTATATTCTGTTTATCAGTATTTTCATATATATGGAAATCCTAACATGGTAACGGAGTTTTTTAAGTATCTACATATGATTATATCAATGCCTCTATAAGGTATCACTTACAAATGCCTCTCTTCTCTTAATGACTGATCAGTTTGGGTATCAATAGATGTAGCGCAGTGCGTAAGCATGTGGGTCATGACCTATGGCTTCAGCGTTTAACTCTCGTTGCCTACAATGCTTATTCTTTTTTTTTTCTCTTAATAAAGAAAAATATGAAATTTCAGATTTAGCCCTAAAGTCTTGGTAACTTGCTGATTTTTTTGTTTTTACATAATTCATAAATGTTTCACTTTCAGTCCCCTTGGTGCAGGGCTGTAAACGAACCGAACGAACACGAACGGGCCTTGTTCATATTCGTTCGTTTATGTTAGCCGAACAAATGAACGAACAAGAACGGATAAACGAACGAATTTTGTTTTCATGTTCGTTCGTTTAACAAATTGCATTGTTCATGTTTGTTTGTTTATGTTCGTGAACATGCTAAACGAACGAACATAAATGAACAAAGATAAACAAACATAATTCAAACATATATGAACATATAATACAGTAATGTAATCAAATACAATTAATCATATATGAACATTAAAAGAACTTATATGAACGAACATAAACAAATGTAAACGAACAACATAAACGAACGTTCACGAACATAATTGAACGAACAAGATCAATGTTCATGTTCGTTCGTTTAACTAAACGAACGAGAATTTGTATTCATGTTCGTTCATTTATTAAATAAACGAACATAAGTGAACATCCCGCCGAACGGTTCACGAACAGTTCGATGAACGTTCAGTTCGTTTACAGCCCTACTTTGGTGAATTAAACTCATGCCTCTCTTTCTTGATAAAGAAATTGGTTCGCTTTTCCTTTCTAATTTATAATGGACGATTTATGTTTTGGTAATTGAATTATCATATACTTAAGAACGATTTCATTGTTAGAACAAAAATTATTTATTATTATTTATTATTTATTATTAGCTATGAAGTTTAAATATTAACTTTTATTAAATGGAATTCTATTGTTCCAGCATACCTAAAAACAAAAGTTATATTTCAAATGAGGTTATTATGAATAGTGTAATTAACACTACTAGAAAAATACCCTTTAATGACACGCATTGCGTGTCGTAAAAGGGTACAGATGTGTGTCAAAGAAGGCTCTATCATAAAGGAAGACGACACGCTTTTTGCATGTCGTAAACTTATGACGTGCATTTACGACACGCACTGCGTGTCAAGGAAGGTCTTGTCATAAAGGAAGACGACCCGCATTTGCATGTCGTAACCTTACGACGCGCGTTTAGGACACACATTGCGTATCATTAAAGCCCCTGTCATAAATGAAGATGACACGTATTTGCGTGTCATAAACTTCAACAACCATTTACGATATGCATATACAACGTGCCTTTACGATACTCATTTACGCATAATACAAAAATATATAAACAAATATATACCAAAACAATCAATTTCATCCAATAACATAATGTCAAAAAGTTGTAATACATTGATATTAAGGGGATCTGATTGTACATTGTTATTAAGAGGTTTTCCCTAACTATATAACCTAATACTACATTGCTATTAAGGGGCACCTTCTTGTTGCACGCCCCCCGGCTCCATGTGAAGAACCACTGTCAGACAGTTCACCCAATCCATGTAATAACGGGCACGAAATGTAGCCAAATGCACATAGTAAGCAGGAGGAACTGCATTTTTTATTTGAAATATATCATATATAGTTTTAGCATAATATTATACTCAAAGAACAAGAACAATCAATTATTTATACATATAGACACAGATCTAATACACCTTTGATAAGTGTAGCATAGACAGTTTGTTAGATTTTGGAGACCATCAGGAGTGAACTTATTCTCATCATACAACACATGGTAATGTGTTGGCCTGCTTGTTTCCTACAATCAGGTATATCATCACCTTTTAAACTGAAGGATTTATTAAGCTCAAGTAGTTCAGTTGGTTCACCTGAATACCAGCATGACTATACAGGTAGAAATCAAACTCCATTAGTGGCAAATCTTGGTGTCAACCACAGTCCCTGCCAACATAACATTTAACATTCATTCTTAATAAATGAAACCATAATTATGTACTTATTTACAAATAATAAAACTGTTGAAAACCTGGAAGAATGTTGCCACTCCTGTCAGTGCTAGCTCTATTGTAACATCCCAAAAATTAAAGACCAAATTTTTTTAAAAAAAAAAATCATTTATAATAAAACCATAAGTCATCCATCATCATAAGAAAACCATAAGTCATGTATCTCAAAACATTGTGTCAAAATACTGTATCAAAATCATATAAGAAAATATCAAAGTCCAAACATCCCAGGTTGAAACTGTGGTGTGTGCCATGTGATCATCCCGAGCCCTTCCCCTTGCTAGTGGAAGGACCTGAAACCAAAACTGAAAACTGTAAGCACGAAGCTTAGTGAGTTCCCCCAAGCTACCACATATCATACACATGATCACATACTGGGCCTAGCCCACTGCATTGGGCCCCGCCCGGCATCGGACGAATCCGGCATCGGGCATCGCCCGACATCGGACCGAGGTCCGGCATAACTTGGGCCTAGCCCCTGCATCGGGCCCCGCCCAACATCGGACCGAAGTCCGGTATACATATCATATCAACAAGCATAACATAAACATAACATGAAAGCTAACATTCCTCGTGCTTGCCCTGGCATCGGACCAAATTTCGGAACACATAATCAAACACGTGCAAGAATCACAAAGACATCAAGCATACTAACTTCCTCGGGCTTGCCCCAGCCTCAGAAAGAAGTCCGGAACATAAAATCTACATCGGGCTAACCCCGGCACATACAATCACACATAAACGGGTCGGCCTTGTTGCCTTAGACCTGTTCCTATAGGAGAAGACTCACCTCTCAAACTGGATGTTGAACTCGTGTGTGAGGAATCTCTGTTGGCTGCTTCCACGACTCCCCGGCTAACTCTATACAATAAATACTTAGTCAGAAAACTTAGAATCCCTCTAAGGGTAAAATGACCATTTTACCCCTGCTCTAACTTTGGACCATATCCAAGGCCCAATTCCAACTAAACCTTATAAGTCCACTCATGGCCTACTAAGACCCACTAATGGCCCAATTTTCTAAATTGGGCCCAACTTATCAGATGGGCCTTCCCTAAGCCCAATCATGTCCTTGGTCCAAAATCTGACTTCTGATGGCTCACTAAGGCCCAATAACTGATAAGTCCAATAGTTGGCCCAAACCGAGGCCCAAAAGGTAAAAGCCCAATATTGTTGAGTACGCGGGGCGTACTCCTCTGTACGCAGCGCGTACCTGCTGTATGGCTTGTACGCTGCACGTACTGGCTGGTACGCCCAGCGTACTACCCTGTTAAGCTTCTTTTCCTATTAAGCACTTAATACTCAACTCCAGAGGCTATAACTACAGATCCAAGTCCTTTTCAATGTCTTGATCCAAAAAGTCGATCACTTGGTGGCTTGCAACCCACCAAATGAGCCCAAAAATTGAGTGATAGCAACTAACTCCATAGAAATGGCTAGATCTCATGCATGGTTACATAAAGGCCTTAAAGGTTGAAACTTTACTGCTTTCAGTAGTACGGGCCCATACTACCTTCCACATATATCCGTACTTTCCTTAAGAACTGCCTCGACTCCACCAAATCCTTACTACTACTATTGTTAATCTCATGCTAAACTCATCCTAGGCTTGCCCTAGGGTAATCACCAACCAATCTCCGCCATCAGCTGCATAAGAAGTCTCTGCTACCTCCCACTAACTAGCTCGTGAGTACTATTACATATCACTAAGACTAGATAATTCTTCGAATGAAAGATCCTACCCTACAACGGTTGGACTCAAACAAGAGTTGCGCAATAGAGCTAGACCTAACCCTCTGAAATTATTTAGTCCTCTCAATATGTAACGTAACATATTTATTTACTAGTTAGTAAGAGATAACTAGAAATCCTAAAAGCACAAAGCAAGCAGCATTCGAGCATCGAGTACACATAATCAAGCATATCACATTCAGTCCATCACTAACTAATATGTACTAGCATGCGGTTCATAAAGCTGACATACACATAACAGGCACATAAGGCATCCTTCCTAGATCCTTAGTCCTAAACTAGCATGCAGTTCTCATAAACATATCATAACATGAACTTGTATGGGTAATTTGGGAGTACTTACTTGAGCTCGGCTAATTGCATGCACCACACCCTTTTTCTCTTTTCAAAGTTCTTTTCTCTTTTAGAAATTCTTTTGTAAAAATGATTTCCTTTTGAAAACTTTCATACCATGTCCTTAGTTAGAGTTCAGACACACCCGAGAGTGTTTCCGAATCCCTCAAATCAAGGCTCTGATACCAACTTGTAACATCCCAAAAATTACAGAGCAAAAAAAAATAATCATTTATAATAAAACCATAAGTCATCCATCATCATAAGAAAACCATAAGTCATGTATCTCAAAACATTGTGTCAAAATACTGTATCAAAATCATATAAGAAAATATCAGAGTCCAAACATCCCAGGCTGAAACTGTGGTGTGTGTCATGCGATCATCCCGAGCCCTTCCCCTTGCTAGTGGAAGTACCTGAAACCAAGATTGAAAACTGTAAGCACGAAGCTTAGTGAGTTCCCCCAAGCTACCACATACCATACATATAATCACATACTGGGCCTAGCCCACTGCATCGGACCCCGCCCGGCATCGGACGAATCCGGCATCGGGCCGAGGTCCGGCT